TCGGGGGGGGGGGACTGAGTTCATAACATTTAAACTGCTTTCATTGTTTATGTAACAAAAACACTTGTATCGTGAAGCTGTGTCATGTGGCACAAGCCAACATCTCATGTGATTTTTTAAAAACTTGCCTCGTGGCAGCGTGTTCGTTGTTGATGCTATATCTGTCTTTGCACCATACCTCCAGGTGTAATACCCGAGTTTAATGGCAAATTCTACCATCCATATCAGAGTCTCCTTCAATGTCTCCCTCCTGTTCATTGTGTCTAGTGATCAATTTACCAATGCTGACTACTGATTTTTCAGCTAATCTGCTCGATTGAAGATTGTGTGACCTTTGAATTCTTTTAACATTCAGACAATAAATTATAGATAATACTTTTGAAAATACAAACTCATTTGTGAAGGTTGTAACACACATATGAGCTAATAAAGGGATGCAAATAATATAATACAACAAAATATTACCTGAAGCGCTAGAATGCGATCTTCCACTGTATCTTTGACAGTAAGCCGGGAGACAGTAACAGGACGAGTCTGTCCTATTCGATGTGCTCGATCAACGGCTTGATCTTCAGTAGTTGGATTCCACCAGAGATCAAGAAGAATAACATGACATGCTGCAACCATATTAAGGCCAAGGTTTCCTGCTTTTAGTGACATCAGCATAACAGTCACCTGAATTAATATCGATGTGACATCATTGGCGCAAAACAAGACAAAAAAGATTAGTGAATTTTATTCAAAAATATGGTAATGTTAGTGTCTACTACTGAAGAGTAAGTTTAGATTCATGCACCTCAGGATCAGTATTGAATTCCTTCACAGCTCTGTCTCTTGCAGGAAGGGACACTGACCCATCAAGTCTTCTATACTGAATAAGTGACTGGTTTAGGGAATCCTCAAGCAAGTCCAGCATACTAGTCCACTGGGAAAATACAATGGCCTTGACTGGTGTTTCACGGTTTGCACCTGTATCAGCCATAAATAAATTCTCTTCATAATAGCTTGGACTACAGAGTGAATTCAAGATTTCAAGTGCTGCCTTAATTTTGGAAGAAACATAACCCCTTTCAACTATTGAAGGTTCCTCCTTAAGCATCAATCCACTTGATGAAGTATTATTATCAAGTTGCTCGGAAATACAACTTTGCAGAGTTGCCTGTGAGAAAGCTGATTCAGGACTAAGCGTCTCTTTACAACCAGCTGCAGGGCAAAAATTATCATCTCCAGTCAAATGTTCTGATACACACTGATAGCAGAATACATGGCCGCAAATTGTTACAACAGCATCCTCAGGTGGGTCCTGCATAGATTATTGTCAATAGGTAGTACGAGAACTGTCAACTAGCAATCTGAATCTTCATACAGTAATAAAATAAAGAACCAAATGCTCTGGGAGAATTCATAGAACAATAAATATTGCAGTCAAATTGGTTACCTCACAGGAAATGCTACCATGAGAAATAGACAAAGATAATAACACATAAACATACAGAAAAATTAATCTAACATAGCGAGAAAGACTGGATTTACAAGACCATTAGGCTGCATGAATAGTGAATAACAAAATATTGACATAAAATCTGCTGTCCAATGACCCAGCCTCTTAACACCAAAACTCCAAAATTATGGTGAGGGTTTTATTTTTATATTCTAACATGCCCCCACTGGTTGAAACCCTTTGTAGAGCAGAACTTGAGTTGCTCTGATACCATATCAAAAGACCTAACCACTACACCAAAACTCCAAAGTTGTGATACCATGTCAAAGGACTTATCCACTATACCAAAACTCCGAAGTTGCGGTGAAGGATGAGGGATATATTTTACGTTCTAACATCCACATTTAGTGGTCATACTGAAAAATCAAAAAAGTAAAAACCATTATATCAGCAGGTCTAAATCAATAGAATGTTACATAAGGCACTGGCACCTACACCGACGCATAGGTTTTAATCATATTTACATAATATATAGTTAAACATATATCATTTTATTTATCTAGATAGAGGAAAAGCAAATTAACAATATACAGAAAGAAGAACACAAGACCATATTTGTTACCTCTTTTTTGACTCCATGTAGGTAAGGGATAGTTGGAGTCTTGGAGATGATAACCAAAGAGATGGCGAGGAGGCGCGGCGATTGGGCGCGAAGGAGGTGGTGACACCAAAGGAGGTCATTAGCATTTGAGCAAGGGTGTCTTTATGGGGAGGGGAATCAGGGAAAAAAAGAGCCAGATCATATGGGAGAGGGTTTTTTATTTTATTTTATTTGATTGGGTTTAGGTTTAGATATGGGTTTGGATTTGGACTTATTTAAAGTTTTAGTTTTGTTAGTCAGTGGGTTAATAGTTGGATTTTAGGTTTTAGTTTAAAAAGTCCATTCAAACCGTCTTATTTAAGCTAGGGCGGTCGCCTATGCTGCCCGTGCTTAGGCCTCTTGAACACCTTAGGGTTTTTGGAGCTCAATCTAAGCCTTGTGTGTGAGTGCCTGATTTGTTGTAACTTATTGCTAAATTGTGTGTACATATATGAAAAAATGGGTATAGTTGGGTAGCTTATTGCTAAATGAAGTGAATTTATATCTTATAAAAATGGGTATAGTTGGGTAGCTTATTGCTAAATGAAATGGCAACTCATATATGTATATGTACACACACATGCATACACCCAACCCTACCAACCCACACCTGAACCCACCCATACCGACACCCGATCGCATGTGCGCAGGCACACTCATGTATTAGAGTTATTAGTTATAAGTTGTCTCATATTTTGAGCCACAAGAAATAAAGGATCATGAGATCCTCCCTTACCTGTGACTAGCAGAATTTTGCTACACCCACTAGTCTATCTTTTGGTAGCTCACACAAATTGTAAAATTATTATAAGTTACCTACAATTTTAATAGATACCCCCATACAATATTTATTTAGTATGCCCATGTAGAGAACTATTGTTGTAACTTTGTAGCAAGTTTTTGTAACGAAAATGAAAATGGCCATGTATTGGTATTAAAATGATATTGAACAACATCATATGTTAAGATCTCTGCGATTATAGTATAAATAATTTTTTCTTTCGATAGAATTTATATCTTATAAAATTATTAATTTATATGTATGATGGTATATGTGCCCCCATAAGAAAACATTTTGGATACGCCCCTACATGTGCACACATGATACATGTGTTATTATAAGTTCTTCTATTTTGTAAATGAGCTACAAAGAGATAAAGGATCGTTAGATCCCCCATTGGATGTGACTACCGAAATTTATTACACCACTAGTCTATACCGTCTCATATGCATTTTTCATAGACACATACTGGAATTTATACCTATATAGCCCTTAATTGTCATATTTGTTTGCAAAATCTAACTACTTAAAAATCCACCTATGTTATCTTACTAACACATACTTTTCTAAAAGAGTAAATGTAAAATGACAATTTTACACCTTCCTCTCTTGCTCTCTCCCACTCTTTTTCTCACTCACTCCTGCCTAGTTGGCACCAATTCCTTATCATGAATATTGCATTGTCCTTCTCAACCTTTCTATTTCTCTCACTCCCTATCTATAACCTCACTTAGTCACCGGCGAACGTATGCCCCAACCATATTTCTCTCACAAACTCTACGCCTACCCCTAACGATAGCCTTGCCCCCACACTTAGCAACAATCAACCCTTGTCCCCAACAAACTATGCCTAATGCTTTCAATCCCTCTCTCTGACTATACATTAATTATATTAATTAACTGAAATAAGAGTAGATTACTCGTACTTACGCTAGGAATATAACCTAATAGTAGGAGTATTTTAACTCAATATCAAGAAATTTAGGAAAAATTAGAAAATAATCTGATTTATGACACAAATCTAGAAATAGGGGTAGATTTGAGGGGTATATAGGTAAAAAGCTATGTATATGCAAAAGTCTGTATATAAAGCTACCACCTTATATCCGCTTTTTCCAAGCACACGCAGGCACACTACATCCACACACAATCGTGTTGATTCTATTTTGATTTACATATGGTCTGATGATAACAAACTACGTTTTTCTTGTTTACTATTTCTGAGTTTCAGGAATATGAAAATGATGGTGTTTAGGAGCGCCCAATTGCCTGCTTTGCATAAGATGATCAATCTAATACAATCATCAAAACACAATGCCAAAGATCAAAGCTTGTGTGTTTATGAATATCATGTGGTGATTAAAGGATTGAGACCAAAGATAAGGAGTTCGCAAGTCAACGTTTTAATATTGGTTATATAGAAAGAATGTTGAAGTGATTAAAATCAACTTTGAAGCACATAGGATTGTTCCTTATCTTGTTACGATCTATAGAAATTGGCTTTATGCAATTCCGATTTGTAAAACTCATCATATCGTTGATTTAGTATCAATAAGTCAAAAATAGTCATGCCAGATAATAGACCCCTACCCTACAAACATCAAAGACCAGTTGTCGGTCAACTGACCACTAAAATCTTTCCGACAAGTCTACCTTTTAATGTTTTTCTTGACAAAAACATGCCAAACTTCGTGATGTACGAATTTAAATCTGAATCAAGTAAAAACATTGATCTGATTGGATTATAATTTCCTTTTAAGGATTTAATTTTTCTTTTGGCAGAAATCTCTAATTAGGATTGAGTGTGTTATTTAGTTAGGAATGAATCTCTTATTTTGTTATGATGAGTGATTTGATGTTATCTAGTAATTAGGATTAGGATTTTGTTTTAGTTCTATAAATAATGATTGTATTTTTCCATTTGAGAGGGAGGATAGAAGAATGTTTGTGAGAAATCTGCATGTGAATTGTAGCTAGTTTTAGGCATATGAGGTGCTGGCATGTGAGGCGCTCATGTGTGAAGCCCACGTTTTATATCTTTTTGTATTCTTCAATGATGAGTGGAATTTTATTATTTGTATTTTTTATTTTATTTGATCCAAGTAAGTTCTATCAAGAACTTCATATTGTCCTTCCTCATCATTTGGTATCAGAGCCGAAGAGATCCATCATTTCAGCTTCGACATCATCAATCCAGCAATTGAAAAAAGCTCATCGATGCAAGCCAATTTTAAACTTTGGTGAGTTTCTTCAAGAGAAGGAGATTTGATGCATGACAGATTCAAATCTGAATCTGGAACAAAAATTAATCTAATTGGATTAGGATTTCTTTTTAAGGATTTCATTTTTTTTGATATATATCTTTAGTTAGGATTGAATTTATTATTTAGTTGGGAATGAATCTCTTATTTTATTATAATGAGTGATTTGATGTTATTGCTCAGTTAGGATTAGGATTTTGTTTTAGTTATATAAATAACGATTGTACTTTTTCATTTGAGAGGGAGGAAAGAAAAATGTTTGTGAGAAATCTACAGGTGAATTGCAACTAGCATTAGCCATGTGAGGTGCTGGCATGTGAGATGCCCAGGTGTGAAGCCCACATTTGTATGTTTTCCTGTTATGAAATGATGAATGCAATTTTATTATTTGTACTTTTCGTTTTATTTGATCCAAATAAGTTCTATCAAGAACTCTTTATTGTCGTTCCCTATCACTTTGTTATCTATACTTTCTAGTGATTTTAAATAGTAGAAACTCCTAGTACTAACACAACACTTAATCTTTTTCATCTTTGATTGTGTTGAGAGATATGCTTGTTTAGACCCACATTGCTTGTGAACCTATGCTGCACGAGTACGGGTATGGGTGTGGGTGTGGACACGAACACAAGACACGACAAAATTGTAAAAGTTATGATATGGGGACACGGCTATCTACATGCATATCAAAAGCAATAATTTACATGAGATCAACATTGTTTTTCATTCACACGTTATGTGAACTAAAATCCTCATACTATTTTTATGTTTCTTTTATCGAGAAGATTATAAATTGAAAAGCCGCTTGGTTTTGAACTAGATACCCAAACAACCCTTTAAAATCATACTCGTGAAATAGGTACGTGCTAAAATGAACTTGTCCCGAGCCCAGCTTGTTCCATAAATTTGATGTGTACAATATACCTTAAAGTGTATCATGGGTTTCTATAAACTAAAACATGTTTTACATAATTGAGTACCCATTTGAATAAATGTGTGTATATATTCAAGAAGTGTCTCACACGAACATGGATACCAAAAGTGTCGAATACGGATATGGGAGCCTAGATGAAGTGCCCGGGTAACCCAATTGTGAACTCTTATTGCATTCACTTTATTGGTATGAGTAAAGCTAGAGAGGGAGAGATCTCACATCTCTTTTCCTTTTTTTCTGATTACCCTTACTATGGTATCACCCTTAACATGGTACCAGAGCTAAATTTCTAAACCCACTAAAAAGTAAACCCTAACCCTTTCCTCCTTCCCCATCCTGCCTCAACCCCTCTGTTGCTGCCTTCCCCTCATGCCCTCCCGTCTCCCCTGACCTCCCCCCTGCCCCTTGCATTTCTTAGATCCCCTTGCCCTCCCAACTCTCCCCTGTGCTCTGCTATCCACCTCCCTACCCTCCTGACCCTAACCCGCCCCTTGCCCTTCTAATCCTAACCCCAACGTGCCTGTCTCTTGCCCTCCTAATCCCGGTGCCAACAAGTCCGTCCCCTGTCCTCCTAATCCCAAGCCCAACCCCCCACCTCGACAACATTCCCCACATAGGTCCCAATCCCTCCGCCCCTTTGGATCCTCTCCTCAGGCTAAAACATCCAATTCCACAGATCCCTTGCACAGATCTCATCTTCGAGATCTGGAGTTTTTGGGCAACTTGTGCCCATGTTTGATTGTGAAGTTCTTGGCAGAGTTTGGTGTTGACTTGTTTTTTTGGTTGAAGATCTTCTTTAGTTGTCTTGATATGTGTCAGCAGCATCTGGAGACGATAGTTCGAAGGTGGAGTTGAAGGCTGAGGCAAGGCCTTCTCTAAGGTGATTCCCACAATGATCATAGATTGTTGATTGGATGAGAACACTTACATGCAGTAAAAGTGGGTAATTGAGGTTTACGTAGCTGAACGCCAGGAGATGACACACATAACATCAATATCCTCCTCCACAGTCTACCCAGTGAATGTCAGATGATGCTATCTTATTGCATTAGCTTTGGAACACCATGGACCTCAATTAAGGATGGTCCTTCACTGTCAGACAGGGAAAGCATTGTGGGATTATTTAGCATAGTTGTCCTCAGACATTAGGAATGTGAAGAGAATCAACAGATCATATAGGGTCATGACACTGTCCTAAAAACATGTGCAGTTGTGAGCTGCATAAATGCATCTCCAATGTATTGAATCAAATTGGCGTTACGCCCAGGATATGCTGATAAAAAGAATATGCAGTTGGTGGAAGTGTCTGCATAACAGTGCAACCAGTCCAACAGACTACATATTAGATTTGGAAATTCTGGATTGGATGTCAGAGCTGCTAATTGATAGATGATGCTTTGAGATAAGAAAAAATTACAAAGGTGGGAAGGGAAAACAAGGTAACTTAGACCTTATAAAGGAATCAATAACTCAAATATTAAAATCTCAAATTTCCATTAATCAAATTTCCCCAATAAATACCTCTAACAATAAAACTAAACTTGTCTAGAGAAAACGTAGAGGTCAAACTGCAGTAAATTTTTTACACAAGTACAAGCTCTAACTAAAGATAGATTAAACAAAAACTAAGACTAGTAACCAAAAGATAAAATATTAAAAGAGAACAATAAAACAAACTACAAATAAGAGAACCTGTCAACCGCTATCATATCAAAATAACTTCAGATAACACCAAGAAGCCACTTTGCGAATACCATTTGACAAGGAAAGGGGAAAGATTTGGCTTACTAAAGGAACCAAATTAATCTATGACATATATACAGCAAAGAGTCAAATGGAACTATATTCCTCATGTCTAAAACAACCATAAAGACTAAGAACAAAAATATATTCACTATCATGAAGCCTTGAAGAGCTTTTTATATGAAAATTAAGAACTATGGTAAGAGGAAACAAGAAGGAGCAGATGCGCACAAAATTAGAACTTTTAATAAAGAACTAAACTACTCGGAACTGTAATAATTAAAATGTAAGTATCCATGAGAAGCTAAGAGGAACAATACATATCTGAGATAAGATGGCTTACGTTGCATACTCGACAAATTGCTAATGAGCTTTCCAACTGACGTAATAAATTCAATAGTACATTCTTAGGGAGTTTTTTTGCCACGTCTAGGGAGCCTTTCCCTGCATTATCTGAATGATATCCCTTTACAAGAATTGGGTGATCACAAGCTTGTCGGAGGCGCAAAAGCATCAACAAAATACTTGCATAGTTTTGCTTGACAGTGCCAGCTGCAGCAAATTTCTGCAGCCAAAGTTACAAATTAGATAATCTTCAAATTTTGAGGAAGCACAAAACAAATTGACATAAATATTACAAGATTTCCTCTTCTTTCGCTTACTGTTAAAACCAAGTACCAACACCATGATAAAATGTATGAACGTAGAAAGAGGCTAAAACCAAATAACATAAATTTTGTTAAGGAATTAGACATTATTGCTTGACAAAAAGCTATGGTGTACATTAAATTCACTCTGAAAATCTACCGCTCAAAATTGATTATAAACAGAATCCTCACACTGACTAAAATTTGCTCATCTTAACTTATTGCTAGCAGTTTACTTGCTGTATAGCAGCAAAAATCTTTTTAATAACTTGAAACTTGTGCTTGAATTAATAAATTTAAAGAATGAAAATAAACTTGAAATAAGATCCTCAAGTACTATGTGCAAACACTGAAGACAAACATTTAGTGTGGATATAAATCTCTAATTTTCTTGTATAATATGAATACTTTGAAATTTAGATTCAGACAACCAGTAGCCAAACATCTAAGTAAACCATTGTTTGATCGCTCAAATTCGGCTGAAATTGAGTTACATATCTAGCACGCACCAAGGCTTTATGGAGGTTGGGAAAAAAAATCCCTTTAATTTCATTTGGATCAGATTCCTTAGGTTGCATGAGTGCAGCTATGTTCCACTAGGATGGGTTAAGTTTGGATTGTGTATGAATTTCTGGCAAGAACCACATTCTTGTTTCAGGGTCAGCCAAGACATACCTTTCCTCTCATCCACTTGGGTAACTGGACAACCATAATGATGCTAAAAGATTAGTATTTCACAAGTTAGCCTTGATGTCTATTCTTTTATCTGCGCACACTTAAAAGTTGCATGATTTTTGTCAAAGTGTTAATAAACTTGAAACTATGGAAATTGACTTGATACAAGTAACTCAGGTTTATTTATTGACGAATAATGCTACTAATCGAGCTTTCAGGTGTTCATAAAGAAAGCCTATGATAACTGACTGGATGCTTCCCATGTAAAATATGTAATCTTGCAATGTAACATCATTGTACCAGAAATCTTTGTGTACATGCATAGAATATCAGCTGCTTACACTCGAATATAGTTTCTCAACATAATTATTATATCATTTCTTTCTTATTACCAACGTAAGTTAACTTCTAATGACTACATCCTCCGTAGCCCTACTTACTTCACATTTGTCTTGGATTGGTGCACTTGAGAGCCTTGCAGGAAACTGTAGTAACCCAGATATTTAGTGCCTTAAAAACTTGATCAATGGAGATTTGTAATACACTAACCCTTGAGAGGGTGATGTGATTAGTATTGATAGATTTGATTGGAATACTCATACCACCAAGATGCATCTTCTTTTCAGGAACCCAACTCTTAGAAACTCCAAAGTTAAGCATGTTTGGCCTGGAGAAATTCTAGGATGGGTGACCCCCTGTGGTGGTTTGTGAGGCCAGTCCATCAGATCTAATAGCGTACCGACTCCGGTATCATTTGTAACGCCCCGCCCCGAAATCCCGGAGTCGGTACGCTATTAGATCTGATGGACTGGCCTCACAAACCACCACATGTCTTTTCAGCACGTTTTGTCCCCACTCACGCGCTCCCTGAAAAACTTCCCAGTGGGTCACCCATCCTATAATTTCTTCAGGCCAAGCACGCTTAACTTTGGAGTTTCTAAGAGTTGGGTTCCCGAAAAAAAGATACATCTTGATGATATGAGTATTCCAATCAAATCTATCAATATTAATCACATCACCCTCTCAAGGGTTAGTGTATTACAGTGGCCTACAGATTAGCATTACCACCAGCCCTGTCTGAAGTACACGATGTATTTCACATATCGATGCTTCGGAAGTTCATCCGAAATCCAAATGAGATTGTTGAGTTGTCTCCAGTGGAGCTTAAACCAGATTTGACCTATGAGGAAAGACCAGAACGTATTGTGGATTTTAAAGAACAAGTACTTGACACCGAATAACCAAATATGTGAAAGTTCAGTGGAAGAATCACTCTGAAAGAGAAGCTACTTGGGAAACTGAAGATTCTATGCGAGAGAGATATCCAGAGCTCTTCGAGATATAGGTATGTTAAGTTTCGAGGACGAAAATTTTTATTAGGAGGGAATAGTGTAGTAACCCAGATATTTAGTGCCTTAAAAAACTTGATTAATGGAGTTTTTTTTAATTACAGATTAGGGAATTAATTAAGGGTATTTTTGGGATTTCACCCTAACCCCTGATTAATTGCCACGTTAATGTTTTGTGGCTAAATATCATTTGACAGTTTGACCGGCACCTCTTTAACGGAAGTATAAAACAGGAAAAATCAAAGAAAATTTCAGGAAAAAAAAGAAAACAACACAGAGAATATCCTCTCATCTTCTTCAACCAAACCCTCTGAGAACCTAGATTAAAATTGTGAAAAGATATGTAGTGGTTTGTGAGGCCAGTCCATCAGATCTAATAGCGTACCCACTCCGGGATTCCGGGACGGAGCGTTACAAATGGATCAGAGCAAAGCCAACCGGAATTGTGAGAGCTAAGTACTATGCGGCTCAAAGTGCTACGTCGAGAGGACGGGAACCACCTCTTGAGGCCGTAGGAACCACCTCTAGAATCTCACACGGATGGTACGGTATTGGATGATATGATTTGACACAACGAGGACATTACAAGTTTAAGTGGGGGAGTTTGTAATACACTAACCTTTGAGAGGGTGATGTGATTAGTATTGATAGATTTAATTAAAATACTCATACCACCAAGATGCATCTTCTTTTCGGGAACCCAACTCTTAGAAACTCTAAAGTTAAGCGTGCTTGGCCTGGAAAAATTTTAGGATGGGTGATCCCCTGGGAAGTTTTTCAGGGAGCACGTGAGTGAGGACAAAACGTGCTGAAAAGACATGTGATGGTTTGTGAGGCCAGTCCATCAGATCTAATAGCGTACCGACTCCGGGATTTCGGTGCGGGGCGTTACAGAAACTAGCACTTGATCAGTGTTGTTAATAGCCGCAATTGCGTTAGCGACCCTTTCCCGCGAGGAGTTTCGCCATAGTAGTGAGAAAATGCGTCGAAGACCGCTATACATTCAAAATAGCGGAGAAAAGTGTAAAATAGAGCTCAAAAGCGGTAAACAGCGCTTAAAACCACTTTTGAGCGCTATTAGCGCTTCCCTCGACGAGCTCCAAATACTCAACTGCCTCTGCACCATCTCCCCGATGAAGCCTTACCCTACCCTCGACGGAGCCTATTCCTTTGTTTAGAATATTTAAATATATTTAAGTTGGATCGTTATTTGACTGTGTTGTTTGCCACTATTTTGCCGCTATAGGCACAAATAGCCTTAGCGGTGCCTCACCGCTGTGCGACGCTATCCGCTATCGATAACCTTGCACTTGTATACAAAATTGACATGACCAAATTTCTGGTCTAACATATTAGAAAAAACCATCTCTGTAAAAGATGGAATGATTGTTGACTAAATGGAGTCGTTTTTATTTGTATTGCAACTTCACTTGGCATGTCAAACAATTTGTTGCACAATAGTTTTAGCTTCATACAGGAAGTAATTTAGTTCCAAATCCTGAATAATTGACTGAAATTTACAAGACTTCATTGACAAACTGATTGAGATAGTAACCAAGAACATAAAATGGAATTGCATACAACTTTATAGAAAAAACTTTAAAACCTAAAATGAATGTAAACGTTTTCTACTATTTAGTAGAATGAACTATTTATGATTTGTATATTATGAAAAAATTAGAAAGGAAACTTTCAAAAAAAAATTTGTCAGTTAGAAAATTATGGAGAGAGAGTGAGGGGACACCAAAAACTATTACTCATAAAACTCCCAATTGAACTTGGGTTTTTCCAAATCCTGGAGTTTTGCGCCAATCGGTTGTGGAATAATGAAAGCCTTGGTTGTCTCATTAAAACATGTAATACATATTCTCAGGAATATTATATCATCGGCATAGTTCTTTATATTCTCTCAGTATAATCCCAAGTATATATCCACTCCAAATATATTACTTAAAGTATATATCTTTTCCAAATATATTCCTTAACATATGTAAAGTTATATTCGTGCTTCTTCTTGACATGGTTTCAGTCAAAGCCATGATTTCAGCGCTATGCCTTGAAACTAGAATTTACAGGCACAAGTTATATTCCTTCCTTCGATCTTTTGTACAGCTCCATAAGATATACATGTCCAGTTACTTGACATTAATTTTCTTTTCAGTAACTGCCATTTGACAAGGATATATTTGAGCTAAATAGCTCAAAAATAAGTGTGTAAAAAGATATTCATTACATTAAGAATATTATGATATATACATGATAAAAACCTTCATAACATATTAACGGACAGAGCAGATGATAAACTAATCACATGAACATGCTAACTGAGAAGTTTCTATAGAATTCATGATGACTCCTTGTTAAAGAAATCCTAAATAATAGTCAAATCTATTCAAACAGTTGGGTTAATTAAGCACCTTGAATTGTTGGCGTGAATCTGCTTCCAACTGCAAATAGAAAGATCTTTCTGCTGGAGAGAAATCCACCTTTTTTAACTTAATTGATTTGGGAGGTATATTGATAATTGGCTCTCCATTGATCAGTGTGCCTATACCAATGTCACAAGTGGTTAATTATCACTTATAAGCACATATGCGACACATTATGCCCAAAGAAATTCATACAAGAATGCCAAACCGTATAATGGAAGTAAGAACAAACAACAGTCGCATAAAGTGAATGACTTGTGAGCTCATATGGTCAGCACTCATCATACTGATGGTAGGACGTGCATTATCACTTGTACTTATGATTATTGATTTTAGCAGAATAAACTAATGATAAAACATACTGGAGCAATGATGTATAGGTTAAGCTGACAGCTAAAATTTTGCATTCATTAAGAAATTTCTTGTCATATCAAAACAGTTTGCAGAAGTGAGCAACTTAAAATCTGAATCATATACAGGTTATCATAATAGGAACTGCTGAATAAGTTCATAGCGGAATAAGCATGAACAACTTGTTTCATATCGGTCATTAAAAGGGAGTAGCATAATTCTCATGTAAACATTTCCCACAACAGTAGGTCAGGCATGAGATAACAAGCCAACTAAAATTTTACGGGTAGTTGTGAACTTGATTTAAACCTTTTTGACTTCAACTTACTGGTGAAAAGGGTAAAAACCATGAGTGGACATCACTCATGGTTGCCAAAATGGGATGTTCAAAAATATGAATTATGCAGCTGGAGGAGGGACGCATATGCCATTTTTGTATCTAATGGAATCTTTAGTCACATATCTGCATTTCCAGTTACTAAAAAACATAACACTAACCACAAAAAAATATGCGGTTGCATAATTATGAGCTTGCATATGGCACATAGGTATATCAACTAGCATGTGATACAAATCAATGCACACATATCAAGATAGCCTTGATGTACAACACAAATTTGAAAGCGAAATCAAGGGCTAAAACCCTTGGTGGACAAGAGATCCTATCAACTTAAGTTTATTTCTAGCCTCCCCCCCCACTCTCTCTCTCTATATATATATATATATATAATATATATATATATAATTATATATTATATATATATATATATATTAGTAAGACTCTCTATTCAACTTAAGTGATGTCCACCAAACTTCCTAGCACTCATTTATTAATATAAAAAATCTTTTCATATCATGCAAGGATTCCTAGGCAATATGAGTGGCTAAAAAGTTTAGTGGATAACTTTTTGATATCCACTTAAGTTGATACAAGTTTTGCTCTCTCTCTCTCTCTCTCTCTCTCTCTATATATATATATATATATATATATATATATATATATATATATACACACACACACACACACACATTAAATTATGTTTTAATGGTGCATTTTTTAACCCAAAAGGCATAACATTCCATTCATAATCACCAAATGGGACAGTAAAAGTCGTTTTATAGCGATCTTCTTTGACAATTTGTATTTGCCAAAATCCTGATTTCATATCAAATTTTAAAAATATTTTTGCACCCTGAAGTCTTTAAATTAGATCATGTTTATTTGGTATTAGGATAGCGAATCAATGGTAAGACTTTATTTAGAGGTTTGTAATTAATAAGTAATCTAAGAACCCCTCTTTCAAGTTCTGCAGCATTCCCAACATAAAAGGCTACAAAGCTCCAAGAAGAACAAATAGGCCTAATTAATTTTTATTTTGAAGATCAGAAATTTCTCTTTTACATATTTCAAGAGTCTTTGACTCATTTGTATCGGGCGTGCTTTGGTAAGAATTTTATTTTTAGAAAAATCTTTCTCATGCGAAAGTCTAACAACATGCTTTTCCTTAAACCAAAAGGCATGAGGAAATTCAGAACAAAGTTATTTAAGTATATTATGAAATATTTTTAGTTTTTCAATAAATTGTTTTTCATTAATATGTTTTTCAATTTTCTTTAGTTTGATTTATAAATATCTTGAATGAATTTTTCTTTATAAAATAAGACAGATATCAACTGATTGAGATAAGCTTCTTCAGGAGTATTATTAAACTTAATAGCATATTTAAACTCATTTGTATAAAAAGGAAGGCTATCGTCATCAACAAAAAAGGATTTAAGAAGATTGATGAAGGAGGTACCAAGAATAATACCTTGTTTTTAAGTCTTTAACCCGAGTAAATGATGTTTTTAAACATAGGCTTTGATTGCAAATATGAACATCAGAAAACTTATATTCAGCACTGAGACTTTGACCATTTGCAAACTAAGCACATGAGTTGTTTTTTTTTTTAAATTATTGGGAGGGAATAAGACATTCTCTAATACAGTTAAGATCCGCTCCTGTATCAACCAGCGCGGTATCTTCAATAGTAAAATTGGACTAAATTTAAAGTGTGATATCACATCTTCATTTTTGTTTAATATCTTTCTCTACAGTGTTGATTTTATTAGAATATTCTATATAATTTGGTTAAGATTTCAAGATTTATATTTCTTGCTTAAAAATTTTAAGCTCAAACCTTACTTTTTTCTGTTCTTTTTTTAGATCTTCAACCGATGCCTTTTTATTAGTTTGTAGTTTTAAAGAAGTGTAGTATTTGGAGTTATTTCTTTTCTTTTTGGTCATCTTAAGATATTTTGTTAATTGTATTCTTTTTTCCCCTGGATTTGTAACAACATCAATAGTGTCAAGAATAAATTGTTCATATTTGTCTAAAGTATTTAACTCTGAAGAACTATTAGAAGATTCTGTAGATGATTCAAAACTATTTTCTTTATAACAAGTGCAAAGATTGTCCTACTCATCACTGGATGAGCTATTGTCATTGTTAGTATCAATTTCATCTTTAGTAAACTATTTAGATTTTAATACTAACTCGTTAATCTTCTTCTTCAAGTCCTTTTGAAAACATTTGTTAGCATTAATGTCCCTTTTTCTTACATTTATAACATGTAGGAGTTTTTGTGTTATTTTTATTTTATTTTTTATGTTTTTAAAAAACTCTCTTCTAGGATATTTTCTTGTCATTTTTATCAATTCTAGGTCTTTGTGCTTTTCTGTAATTTTTATGCTTATTTTTAATGCTTAGGTTTTCCATTTAAAGAACAAACTAATAACAAAAATCTCCTAAATCCTTTTTACCTAAAAAGTTATGATTTTTAATTGGTTTTTAATTTTAACATTATTATAAAGTTTTAAACCAATTATGTTGACTCTTTGGATTATTCTCCAAAGGAAAGTTGAACATAAGGTATTTGACTATTACATTATTCTTTAAGAGATTTTCTCGCCTTTTTGGCAAATAAAGATAGAATGTCAGAAATAAATTTTTCTTTCCAAATGAGATTATTTCAATCATGTAATTGGTGGATTTTAGGGAAAAAACATCTCTATACCATTTAAAGTCTGTAAGGTTTTTACACCTAAAATTTATAAGTTGTACTCGAATTTTATCTTGAAGGTTATGAGCTAAACAAGGTTGTTGATAGCGGATCGCGGCGCGTCGCGGCGAGGTACCGCTAAGGCTATCGCGCGCTATTGCGGCGAAATAGCGGCAAATAGCGCACAGTCAAATAGCGGTCAAATATATATTCAAATATTCTAAATAATAAAAAAAATCATATAAAAATCTAAAAAATCTACAAATGCATACTTGATGCCTAAACATGAAATAGATGTGTAATAATTAAATAATATTAACAAATGATTATAATTATAAAGATTAAAGAATGAAAAAAACGTACCTGTTTAATAAAAAGATCGTTATTTGCCCCATTTCTTCAACTTGGCTAAATGATTATACTGATAATTATCTAATTATACTAAACAGAAATCATTAACGTGAACCTATTTGGTGAACTTAAAAATTTTGAAAGAGTTTTCACATTTCCACATTTTAAAGATCGTATAAACTCAAAGCCCACCCGACCCTATTGGCCAGGGCTCTCTCCTCTCACCTGAGTCTTTGAGACAGTGAAAAAAAAGGAAAATAAAATAAAATAAAGCAGCGGCTGAGCATCTTCACCTCTCTACTCTTACCATCGTCTTTGAGACAGTGGAAAAAAAGGAAAAAAGGCAGCGGCTGAGCATCTTCACCTCATGCGGTTCCACCACCGATAGCATCTTCACCTCCTCCTCCGCCGCCGACACCTCCAGCCGTCGCAGCCTCTCCGCTGCTACCACCGAAAGCATTTCGGCCTCCACAGCCTTCTACCGCTCCCTCTCATTCTCCTCCTCCCGCTTCCTCTCCCTCAACTGCGCCTCAGCCTACCGACCCACCAAAGCTTCAGATCCCATCGACGTCGACCGAAGGGGCGTTGACTGGAGGCAGCGTCAACCAGAGGCGGCGCTGGAAGGAGTCGCTGGAAGGAATCGCTGGCGGCTAGGGCACAGAACACAGTCGGGGTCGGGATTTGGGAAGAGATTGGTTTTTGTTTATTTAGTTCGGGTTGGATTCAGGTCGGGTTCGGGGAAGAATTTACCCATCCTGTAGCGGGTTTAGCGCTTTTAAGCGCTTTTCAGCGCAAAAGCGACGTTATTTCGCGCGTTTCGAGCGCTTAGCGGTTTTCTCCGCCAAACCTTGCCGCGATCCTCTTAAGCGGCGCGGTGTAGCACCGCGACCGCGATTAGCGCCGCGATAACGGCGCTATTTGCCGCTTTTTACAACAGTGGAGCTAAACCAACAAAATGATGATAAATAGAACGGAGCAAGGTATAAAGTGCATCACTAAGATAGTGTCCTCCTATATCAATAATTGGTTCTCTTAGTTGATTTTGTTTATGACTATTTAAAATGCTATATCTTTCTACGTCGGTGAGATAACGATCCCACCAACCTTGTCATTGGTCAGAAAAGGATGAACACAAATTACTGACAATATCTATTTTGGGATTACCTTGTTGTCTACAGGCGTTGGCATAAATAAACATTTCTTGTAAAAGATGTATTATTTGATATTCAGTGGAACCGTCAAGATTCCACTCAATAAGAGAATTACCATCAAAACTTGTTTTATGACTATCAATTTCTTTAAATTGTATATCAGCAGGAGTGGGTCTCTTATAATAATTTCTTGTATTATTAGAAAGATGTTTTTTAATACTCTG